GTCCTGCTAACTTCGTACCTGAGGACCTTATCTCTGCCGCTCAAGAACCAGTTGGCAAAAGAGGCCAACATTAATATGCACAACTTTCCTTCGTTCAACAAGGTGGCCCTAGACCTAGAAGCGAAGATAGGGCATGGACATAACTCAGTGACAGACGGGAAGAAGAAGACACTGCCTCCCAACTGGAAAGCGAAAGGTCGCATTATGTTCGTCGACCACGATGGCTCAACCATTGAGTTGGACGACGACTCCCAGTTAGGAGTAGGTGCAGAGGCAGGTGGCGATACTTCAGAGGGTGGAGTAGTCGCCGCCGTAACCGAACAAAAAGGTAAAGGGACCAATAGACGCCCTAGGGGATCCCGGTCGAAGAGTCAAACAGACCCCAATGCTCCTCCATGGGAGAAAGCGGGTCTAGCTGAGGACGTGTGGAGAGATCGGTGGGCACGGCAAGCTTGTATCAAGTGTGGCCAATATGGTCATAGCATGTACAAGTGCCGCAATAGAAAGGTCACCGAAAAGATCCCGCCCACTATGGGGTCGGCAGTAGGATCCTCTCAAACCTTTGGTAGCAACGTTGCTAGTTCTTCAAGCAATGCTTCGGGAAACACGTCGGGCCAGTAGGGATAGTAGTTGTTCCTGCTAGGGTCGCGATGGTGGATTCACCCTCACCTTCGCGAGAGATGGCCCAAGCTACAGACTCTTCAGTAGTCCCGCAGACACATACACACCCATCGACCCTCTGTTCGATGAATGTGTTTGAATCCTTAGAGGAGCTAGAGCATGAGTGGTCTAGATCAGATCCACTAGCTTCTTGGACGGCGTTAGTTAAAGCCCCTAAGAGTGAAATGTTTGTCAGCGAGGCAGTCATAGGAGGCCGCAAGGCCAGGGCCTATTACGACACTTGCTCGACTAGAAACTTTATGAGCCGCGCGTGCGTTGAGAGGTTGCGCTTACAGGGGCAAGTGGAGCGCCTGAGTCGACCTGTGGAGTCGACCTGTGCCAACAAACAGCGTATGGTAGTTAATGACTACCTCCATGATGTAGAGTGTGTTTTTCCGTACGCGGGAGGGGACTTGAGACATCGTGTCTCGTTCCTGGTAAGTGACGAGCTCCCAATGGACATGTTACTAGGTATGTACTACCTCTCTGTAGCACAGCCCCAGTTTGACTGGGACCGAAAAGTGGTCAAACACATGTTGCCAGGTGGAAGGACCGCCAGATTACATAAATTCAAAGCTAGTAGTCTGATTGAGTCCTATGGGTGCATGTGTGCGGCCGCATTCTATAATTATTATAAGCAAAATCAGGAAGAGGGTATGTACTTGGTCTATGTCTCTGCTGCAGGTGAGCTGGAGAAAATGCCACCAGAGATAGAGGGAGTAGTTGCTAAGTACCCTGATCTATTTGAAGAGCCGACAGGGGTTGTTGAGAGGGAGGTCGTCCACGCGATAGAGATTATCCCAGGATCTAGTATTCCAAAGGGTAGAATCTATCGGATGTCTCCGAGCGAGCTTGATGAGCTTCGCCGCCAACTCAAGGAACTCGTAGAGAAGGGTTGGATCCGRCCRAGTGTCTCTCCTTATGGGTCTCCAGTTTTATTCGTGCCTAAGAAGAAGGAGGGAACTCTAAGGATGTGCATTGACTATAGGGGCCTCAATGCCATCACGGTGAAGAACAGAGAGCCCTTACCACGCATCGATGATCTGTTAGATAGAGTGCAAGGGTGTCRGTACTTCAGTAAAATAGATCTGAAGTCCGGGTGCCATCAGATTGCAATCCGGCCCGAGGATCAACACAAAACCGCATTTCAGACCAGGTACGGTCTATACGAGTTTGTGGTGATGCCTTTTGGCCTTTGCAATGCTCCTGGCACCTTTCAGCACGCTATGAATCAAATATTCCATGACTACTTGGATAAGTTTTTCGTCGTGTACCTCGATGACATACTTATTTTTAGTAAGACTGTCGAGGAGCACGTAGCACACTTAGACAAAGTTCTCAGTCTCCTGCGACAGCACAAGTTCAAGATCAACGGTGAAAAGTGCGAGTTTGCCCACACCCGTATCTTGTACTTGGGTCATGAGATCTCCGCGGAAGGGTTGAAGCTCGATGACGCGAAGGTGGCCAGCATTCGTGATTGGCCACGTCCTCAGTTTGTGACTGAGATGAGATCTTTCTTAGGAATGACAGGCTACTACAGGAATTTCGTTAACAACTACAGCATAGTGACCGCTCCTTTGACTGATCTGACCCGCCTTGACACCCCTTGGGGGTGGACAGATGAGTGCGAGGCTGCTTTCAGACATCTGAAGCATGCATTGACGCACTATGAAGTCTTGAAGCTACCCGATCCTGATAAACCATTTATAGTAACCACGGATGCTAGCCAATATGGCATTGGCGCCGTGCTTGCGCAGCAGGAGGGGTCAAAGTTGAGGCCAGTAGAGTACATGTCCAAGAAAATGCCGTCTCAGAAGTTGGCTAAGTCCACTTATGAGAAGGAGCTCTATGCGGTGTACAAGGCTCTCACTCATTGGAGACACTACCTCCTTGGGCGGTTCTTCATCCTCCGGACTGATCATCAGACCCTAAGATAAATGAGAACACAGCCAGTACTCTCTAATGCTCTTAAGCGTTGGATCGAAGTCATTGAGCAATATGACTTTGACCCTCAATATCTTAAAGGGGAGTACAACAAAGTTGCAGATGCCTTGTCGCGCAGACCAGACTTCTCAGGTGCGCTGATTACTGAGTTCGATCTAACGGACAATGTTACTCAGTCTTTGGTGGAAGCCTATCCTCAGGACCAGTTTATGTCTGAGATCATACGCAGACTGGAGGCGAAGGATGAAAAGACCTCCGCCGAGTTTGAGTTGGTCAATGGATTGCTGTTCCTAGAGAAGGCAGGGAATAAACGCTTGTGTATTCCAAATAGCGAGTCTTTGCGCAGTTTGTTTTTAGGTGAGTGTCATGATGCCACCGGTCATTTTGGGTATAAGAAGACCGCAGCCAACTTGCTGCAGCGATTCTGGTGGCCCACGATGATGCGAGATGCACAGCTGTATGTGGAGACCTGTCAAGTTTGGCAACGGGACAAGCCCTGTTCTCAAGCTCCTCTTGGACTGCTTAAGCCCCTTCCGATTCCGGAAAGGCCAGGTGAAAGCTTGTCCATGGACTTCATGGATACGCTGGTCACCAGCAAGAGTGGAATGAGGCAGATTTTCGTCATCGTGGATAGGTTTAGTAAGTATGCTAGATTAATAGCCATGCCGGAAACAGCAAAGACCGAGTACGTAAGCAAACTGTTCAAGGAGAACTGGGTCAGAGACTTTGACTACCAAAGTCTATTGTTAGTGACAGGGACGTACGGTTCACTAGTGAACTATGGAAAGCCGCTGCAGCTGAACAGGGAACTCAACTGCAGATGACTTCTGGAAGCCATCCAGAAGCTAACGGCCAGGCGGAGCAGATGAACCGCGCTGTGCAGCACCTGTTGAGGCACTACATCAAGCCTAACCAGGTGGACTGGGACGAAAAGTTTGCTTTAGTCGCCAGTCTGTATAACAACGCAGTACATAGTGCCACGGGGGTGAGTCCTAACAGTCTGCAACTAACGTTTAAGCCTAGACTGCCCTTAGACTTTCTACTACCTGACAATCAACCAGACACTGCACCCGGCACTCTCGAGTTTGCCTATCGTTATGAACAGAAGATGCAGGAGGATGTAGAACACATGCAGAAGGCGCAGGCTGCAATGATTGAGTCTGAGAATAAATATCGCCGCCCTTCTGCATTTCAGGTCGGGGACAGAGTCTGGGTCAAGTCCTCTGAACTGGGACAAGAGTTTGGGATATCTCGCAAACTCATGCCCTAGTACTTTGGGCCTTGGGAGGTCTTGGACATAGTTGGGACAGATCCATATGGGCCATCCTATGTCATCCGTATCC